TAAAATCAACCGATTTCGAAAGATTTAACAGAGTAATTTCGATTTTTATAAATCACCTTGTATTTCTGAAACAAACGGAAATTTGGAAAAGACAATAAGACACTTTTAACACGTTTTATAGTATAGTAGTATAGACCTTCACTACACTTGGACGAGAAAATTCTTGTCGCCGTATCGGTAGACCGATGAAATTCTCGTTCACTTGACCCGATTCGTGCAGGCCTATTGTTTTCTTCTTTAAGGTCTTGCGCAAGAGCTTATATGGAAAACTTCGGTGTCGACGTGATGGTCCTCTTAAACAGCCACGTACGCGCATCTAATTACCTGGGTTATACCAGCTATGGCGTTGTATACCAGATAAAGATATTAGTGAAATCATCTACCCCGGTACAAGTTTCTTCTTAAAATTCGTCGATGGAATTAAATTCGCGTCATTGGCGAAGACTTTAAACCATTCCCGAATATTCCGCCTCCAACGGCCGACGTTACGGCTGCTAATTTGACCCGGGAACCAGAGATGAAACCGTTGAATCTAAACGTGGAGACCGGTTTCAGCGACAGCAGTCCGAGGCTTCAGAGTCCTGGTCAGCAGACGGTCAACGGAGACCCTATGCAGTCGCCCAACTCGGTCAAAATGGTAATCAAGAACGGCGTGTTAATGCCGAAACAGAAACAGAGGCGCTACCGGACGGAAAGACCGTTCACCTGCGAGCATTGTTCAGCTAGATTCACGCTGCGCTCGAACATGGAGCGACACATCAAGCAGCAACACCCTCAGTATTGGTCGCAAAGACAGAGAGGTAATATCGGCCACCCACCCAGGAAGATGGTGAGCGGTGTAGTGACGAAACCGACCTTTTGCGACTTGAACGTGCCCAGTTTCGAGATGCCGAAAGTGTACGACTACCAAGAGTCGAAGGAACAGATCAGCGAAAAGTTGAAGTACGCGATACTCGCGCAGCAGTTGCGCTCGAATCTTGGAGGAGGAGCGAAACCCATAGAGAACGGTAAGAAAGAGGAAGACGAAGACTGCGAATTGGTGATCGACGAGAACGATGATGTCAACGGCCAAAGGAGCGATCAAAAAGCAGTAGGAAAGGGAGAGGAGGACCTGGTACCGGTGTCGAGGTTGCTTGATAACGCGTCGCAGCAGCAGTTTAAACAGTTTTTTAAGCGGGATCCGGAAGACTCGGAGGTGGGGGCGAGCGAAGAAGATGAAGAGGGTTTAGTAGCGGGCGGCAGCACCAGCGAGGAGAACGTCTCCGGGACCGATGAAAACAAGTAAGTATTTCCTTCTATCGTTAAGTCAACACTTGTAAGATCTTGTATTCCTCAAACTTCTTGCAACACTAAAGAGTGAATTTGTGTGGTTGAACCATTAGCCTAAACCGGACACTCTTTCCAGATCGGAATCGGAAACTGCGGCAACCGCAGCACCGGCCAAGAAGAAATCCGCGTACTCTCTAGCTCCCAATCGAGTCAGCTGTCCGTATTGTAGCCGAAAATTCCCTTGGACCTCCTCTCTACGACGCCACATCCTCACCCACACCGGTCAGAAACCATTCAAGTGCAGTCACTGCCCTCTCCTCTTCACCACCAAATCCAACTGCGACCGTCACCTGCTGCGAAAACACGGCAACACGGCAACCACCATCACCAACGAGGTGGCTGGCAACGCAGCGGCGGCAGCAGGCTACCTCATGCGGAACGTACCTGAGAGGCCGTTTAAGTGCTCCAGCTGCCCTAGCAGCACTTTCTCCACGTACTCCAACCTGAAAAAACACATCAACGGCAAACACTCGACCAATGCGCAAGGCGACGACATCAAAGCTCAGGGTTACGAAGCTGGCAGTTCTGAGGACGAGAAAGGAGGGACCCAAACTGAGACTAATAACGAATGGGAAAACCAAATCGGATACGGCAGGTTCCCCGTCGAACCGCACGCAAACCAAACGCTCAACTCTGATCTGCCTTTTAAGTGTCATTTATGTGAAGGTTCGTTTGCCGAACGTCACGACGCTTTAGACCATACCAGGGACAAGCACGCTTCCGAATACGATCTGCTGATGTCCAAGAATGCGTTGGATACGAATGCGACTACACCAGATGATGCTGCCCACCATGACGACGACGACCAAGACGCTCGGGGCAAGTTCCCAGATTACAGTAACCGGAAAGCGCATGGTGTATGCGAAGGTTCTGGTCCGCAGAAGATCTGCGCAGACACATGCGCACACATACAGGTGAACGACCGTTCAGCTGCGACATCTGTAGGCGTAGGTTCACCCTGAAGCACAGTATGTTGAGGCATCGAAAGAAACACAACGTTAATGGAGGTCCGGATCAGGATGGAAACGGGAGCGAGGATGAAGGGATAGAGAAAAAGAACGGCGAAAAGACAGACGAGTCGGACGGGAACGAGGGTGATCTTATCAGTAACTTGTTGGGAATTAGGGACAGGTCGATCATAGATCGGGTGTTGGACGCGACTGCTGACGACGCAGCTAAACTGCTAGGCGTGAAACCCAACATTAAGTAACGCAGCAGGGTTGGGGGTATTTTTATTTCAATAAATTGAATGGGTTTTTGGTATTCGCCAAACGGAGCCGACACGAAGTCTGTAGAAACAGGACGATACAGGTGTGAGCGATGACCGTTACGCTATTATTTATTTCAGGGAGTTGGTTTGCCCGACCGAATATTGACACACAATTCTAATAGATTTCTCACTAGATACCAATATGTTCTACTTTTGCTCTAACGCCCTTAATATTTTAAAACAATAGATCAAATAGATCAAAAACTCCAAAAATAAAAACCGAAAACTTAACACAAAACATTAGTAAATAGTAGATGATTTATCTCAAAACACATATAAATGCTTTTGTAAACCGTAACCTCACTTACTGTTTGGTTAAAATGTTGGACGAGTCCAAGTTCTTCCACTTGATTCATATTCCACTGACTTGAACCTAATAATGGCAAAGTGCAATAGGTATCCTAATTGTAAACTAATTTATTAGACTGTTCCTGAAAAGCTGAAAGGTACAAATCCTCCTTACGGCTTCAAAGTAAACAAAAAAAAACAAGCTAAACGCTAAACGCTAAACGCTTGACAACTTGACAAAAATATTAAAAATTATCAACGATGCATATTCCATATTATGTTGTTGTTGTGTTTATGAAACATTGGGCTGCTCGCTTATTTATGCATATATTGTCGTTTTAAGTAAATTTCCAAATGGACAAGGACGAAACGACCCGAAATGCTTAAGTGAGGTTATAGTCACATTTTCACTAGGTTACACAGTAATTAAATCAAATCAACAGGTTCGCAAAAAACGTTTTCTCTCTGTGGTCCGCTACTGCCAAAGAGATTATCGAGTATCGATCCAGTTCACACTCTAAATATTTGCCACTTGCCTGGATCGCTCCGTCTGCGCCTCGGGACATCGTGTTGGCTTCCGTACTCGCGCAGAAAGGGAAAACAACCGAAAAGAATTGTGCCGATGGTAGCGTCACAAACGCCATTTATTTCGGACAGGTCAGAGCCGTGTTACGCATATATTTTCGAACTGCATAACGAAAATTATTCGGTTATTTTCTGTTTTATTTAAGGTGTAGGGTTTTACGTGAAGTAATGATATAAAATATCGATTTTCTCTAGTCAGGTTTATCCAATAATATAAGCATTCGATGCGAATGTTGCTATTTTATCTAACTTTTGTTATGACGTTTTTAATGACAAAATCAAAAATCGAGTGATTTAGAGTGTAGTAGACTAGTAGACAGTTTTACGTATATATCTGAGTATGTTATAAATTATTTTCCATTTTCGTTGTATTTTGTACATATATTAATTTCACAGAATACGGTCTAGGTATACCAAAAAGTAAATTATTCCACGGTTGTGCGGCGTTGCCGCATCGCGGTCGCCGAAAAACTGAAGATTTTGGGTGTGTACATAGATATTGTAGTGCATTCGCCTTATATCTTATAGAAAAATAATGTGTCTTACATTGTTGCCTCAAAGTTTATGTATATACACAGTTTACAAGCAATATATCTATTCTTTTAAATATATATTTATACATGAGGTTTCTCGAGCGTTCTAAATAATTAGCTTAAAAGAATTAAAACTGCACCTAGAATAATGTGTTATGAAAATTTGGAAATTTTATTCGTTTTTTTTTATTTCGTTTGTTTGGTAGGGTCGGACGATACTTTCAAGTGATTGTTTAATGATGCAATTATATTAATGTTCGCGTACATGTCGGGAGGGTAAAACATTTTTAGCGATGGCAACACTGTCGGCAGCTGTTGTCTGTTATTTAATTGCAAGCTTGTACAAAAAGCAATTATTTGCATCGTTAAACAAGTGTAGATAAATTTAGTGTTAAGTTGTTTCAAATCGGTAAAGTAATTCAATAATTTGAAACATTTTTTTTCTTCGAATTCTCTATAAAAGCTAGACGTAAGGTTTTTCTTTTTGTTTGCACATTGTATAATGTATTTTTCACACATGTTCACACCGCGTGTCTTATTACGAGCTTTTGATGAAAACCCCTTATTTCCGCGTGGAAGGTTTCTTCGAATGAAAAGCTATTTTTAGAGTCTTTGAAGCAATAAAGTATGTTAGATTCGTAAGAGGTTATCGTTAGATTAATCGCGGGTATTTCCCTGACCATCATGTTTGTATCATTGTAAATTATTGTCTATGCCATATTACGATGTACTTAAGTTGTTTGGTTTGAAATGTGCACCCGGAAAATTGTCATTTGTTATGTACCTTTTCTTTTACGCTATTTAAATAAATTGTCATATAAAATAAACCTGTTTGCTTTTTTTTCCTAGCTTCTAAAAATACTGCAAAGTTTAAACGAGGTTTAACTTTAAAACAGATCGACCAAGCCGTCCATGGCCGTTACTATAATGAATGTTGACACACTGCAGATAAACATTTGACATCTTAGCAAAAAGTTTTAGGTTATAATTTAAACGGTTGTTTGCATAAAGTTTATTTGAGGTAAAAATGCCGAGAAGTACTCTGATTGATTTAGATGTTGACAAATTGTTTGAGGAGAAAAGTGTAGATGAAATTATAGAGATAGAAAAATTAATAAATGGGGAAATTGACAAAAAACGATCAGAACTTCGGTCTATGGTGGGGTAAGTAACGGGTATCGCTGTTGTGGCAAATCTAACGAAAAACTGTCATGAAGGGATCGCTATAAAGACATACTAGCCGCCTCAGATGCCATAAAGTCAATGAAAACTATATCCGAAGACATTGTTAAAACTATTGACCAAATTACGAATACATGCAAAATATTAATAACAGCACCGGATTCACCTAAAACAAATGCTACACGTGATACTATCCTTCTCAAGTAGGTGAGTAAATGAGCTTAGGACTTTATATAAAGATGTCGCAATTTTGCAGAAGAAAGAATGAAGAGCGTACTTTGATAATTCAGCTGAGATTAGCAATTTCTCTTAATGAACAAATATGGATCGCTATTGAAGAAGAAGACAATTTAATCGCAGCACAACATTGCTTGTTGGCCCAACATATCTACATGGGTATAAATATTTAACTAGCAAATACACATATAAATAGTTATTCCTGCAGGTCTGGACTTAACTGATTGGAGGTACTTAGAGAATATACATTTATTGGAACATTTGAAGCAAAATTTGTCTAGTCTTAAGTCCAAAGTTTTCCGAAACATCTCTGAAAAGTTAGAATATATGGAAATCAACTCAGATGTGAATTGATATCTGTCAATGTGGGTTCGCTATTACCAAATTGGATGTTTTAGGAAGCCAGTAAAAATTTGAATGCCCTAATGCTTTTGGAGAATCAAACGGGGCTCAAAATACTGGAGAAATGTATTGAACATCGAAAGGCAGCATTGGATGGTGTTATTTCGTCCCAACATCCTAGTATAAGATTGTTAGTTATGGCAGTGATTAGGTGTTTACTTACGAGTGTCATATTATTCCATGACTGCTTTATTAGTAATCAGTTCAAGTGAATCGTTGAACATTAGTGGTAGTTTTTGTTTTTAGAGGCTAAAGAAGGCAAAACGCAGAATAACGAGGACTACTTAAATATTCAAATGCCAGTTACCCCTTTGCTCTCCTATATCCCAGATGTGGTGAGGCAATACAGGTATTTATTTTCAAAGGTCCATGTCAAGTCCATCGAGTAAACTCCTTTTAGACCTCAATCCCCAGTTTTACAAGTGGATAAATTGAATGCCAAAGGCTTGGTTAATAATTGGCTACTCTGTGTGAAGCAATCAGTAGAGGAGGGATTAAAAAAATCTCTGCAATCTGTAACTACTGTCAAGGCTTTGCAGCTGATTCGTGAGGAGTATAATAAAATTAGTAATTCCATATAAATATGGGAGCTTCTTTGTATTTACTATAATTTTCTAGAGATGCCTGAGAACTGGATTCAAATTTGTGTGGATTTGCACTTTCCAGAAAGCTTTGACATGTGGCAGTACTTTTTACAAGATTTGTTGACCTCCAAAGCCAAAAGCCTTATCTCCAGTATAATTTCGCGCAACACAGAAGAGATTAAAAGTGATGTTACTGCGGTGCTTCAAAAAATTGCTAAAACTAAGGATTTCGAGGTTGATTTAAGAAGTTACGCCTGGACTGAGGAGCATTCGGATGTTGATAAAGCAGATCCAAGTCACACAGGTACTTTTTTCTTAGTACACTTGCACTTTTATTTATGTGTAATTTCCGATTTGACAGGTTTAACTATGAAAACCAAAGGGTTTTCCCAAAACTTCATAAATCTCTGTGGGACAGTCGACTCAAAATATTTAGCACTGCTAAAAGATGTTTCGCCATATTTGTATGGTGTTGAAGTGCCTGATAGTTCCAGTAACGGACTTGTCGCCACCGGTAAATGTAGGAAATATGTTGATGGTGCCCAATTGGAAAATCATTTAGCAGAGGAATGCATAAGTTACTCACTACGGTAAGTGAATTTCGAAAATATTAAATTTGTGTGTAAGTGGAGAAGTGTTTTCTTTATGACAAAAATTCAATGAAATAAATGATGTTATATAAACACTATTATTCATATATAAATCTTACAAAATGGAAATAGCGAAGTCTTAAACTCCATCATATTTTGTAAAAGAACATTGCAATGCCCAAAGCACTGACTAGAAATAGGTTTTGCCTGATTTTATAATTTGAAAAGCACTAGATAAGATAAGTGCTTTTGTAAATAGTTACTCCGCATTTGTCATAAAAAGCATGAAAATTTTATAAGACAGTAGCATAGCTTTATAAAATAAGGAATAAATATAATTGTTGCATTTCATAAAACTTGTATGTTGTATTTTTTTACTTGTGGAAAAGCGGCAGCTTTGTTCAAAAGGGAGGGAGCCTGAAAGTTTGCTAAAAAATGCGGATGACTCCTACCTAAATTGGAAGAATTAGCAAGGTACTAATCCATCCCACAACCTTCGGCAGTTGGGCCGCATCTGGCACTGGGAGACATAAGGGGAACGCGCAAAATTTAACACAAAACCAGAGAGACACAAGCGTTATTGCCTGATTTTTCTACTTAAGTTTGTAAATAAAGTCATAGACATGGAAAAACTACGAAAAACCTTTAACGAGTTCTTGTAAACCGCCGTTGTTTTGTTAGTATAATCAACGTCACGTGATTGGTATAACCAATGGGTTAGGCGGTTATCAATACCAATGAAATAAGTAGACATAGGGAACCTTTTCCTAAATTGGACTGAGGTGGCTTTTATTTGATGAAAATTCATTTAACACAATTAAATTAAAACAAAAAATGTTCAGATTTTCAGTTATTTAATGATAGTTAGAATCCGAACTTTTATTTTTATACGCCCTTTTATGTTCGTTAATGCGTTTCTTAAATCTTCTACCGGTTTGTCCGATATAAATTTGGGGACAGGATCCATATTTCAACTTGTAGACTCCAAATTTTTGAGTTTTTCGGAATTTAGTTTTGTTTTTTAAAAAATGTTCTATGGTGTTTTCAGTTTTAAAAGCAATCTTAAGACAGAATTTAGATAGATGTTTCGAAATTTTCTTGCTAGGCTCTCCTACGTATTTTATTGTTTTGGGTTCGATGCGTAATATGGGATAGATAGAGTTCAGAAACTGCTTTTTAGTTATAATCTTATCTATCACAGAAGGGTGGTGACCATTGTTAATAGCCATTTGTTTAATAATATTTAATTCTTTTCCAAAATTTTTTTGTGGAAAATGGTATATTAAGTAATCTGTGGATAAAAGCATAAAAAGCAACCATTTTGTGTGTGTAAAGGTGATATGAGTTATTATGTATTATTGTGTCCGTGTGTGAGGGTTTACCATAAATTGAAAAATCTAATTTGTTCTGTAGTTTAGCTATCATTAAGTTCAGAAAGTTTAAAGGGTTATCTAGTTCGCTCTCTATGGTAAACTTTATACAGTTATATATGGAGTTAATATGAGTCAAAAAGGACAAGCAGTTGTCTTTCCGTTCCAGTGAAACAAGCAAAAACATCATATGTATGATATTTTCTGAATTGTCCATAAAAATTTCTGCAAGGAATGGTCTGAGTGGGTTACCCATAATTAATTCTTCTTTAGCAATATAACATTAATCATTAACAAATAATCTTGGTCTAAACAAAGTATTAAACTATCTAGCAAGTCTTGTCTCTAAGTGAGAATATTGTCTATGATGTTTATTATTTTAATTGGTGGAATGCTAGGAAATAAATTTTGAAAGTCAAATGAAACTAGAACTGCCTTAGGAGGAATTTTAATACCTTGTTAATTAGTTCGAACCAATTTGATAACATATCTAGGTTTAAACGCAATATGATATTCTAAAATTTTTCTTAATCTTGTTGAGAATTTTACTGATGGTGCTGTTACAAAAGAAACTACAGGCCTTATTGGCATGTTTTTAAAATTGTTAAAAAGACAAAAAATAGCATTTATCCTGCGAAATTAATATCGTATAGTTCAATGCTGCGGTCGCCATTCTCAAAGTCATTTTCAGGAGTAATGTCTTGGTGTAGAGGTGTAGAGACTTTTTAAAGAAAAGTTAAATCAAGGTTGTCTTCCCATGTTTCTCCATAATGCGTCTTTAGAAATGAAGTTATTGACAATTTGTCACCCTTTACTTGCCAGCCAATATCGAGTTCAGTAATACTTGATCCAAAAGCTGGGGCACTGGTCGCATTCAGCGAACGAAACTGTTGTGAACTGTTACAAAACTGCAGCGGAAACGTTTGGTGCCACATGTGCCACAAACACAAGGCTTTGCAACCGCTATTGATACCTAGCAGTAGCGTTTTGCATTACATACAAGGAAAATACCGCTACATTTTCTGTTACTTTTTAACTTCTCTTTTGATTTTAAACAAACACTATTTGGGGAACCAAATCCAATATTCGAATGGATGTTTATGTATCAACCCCAATTTGACACACACTTCTGAACCTTTGAATGATAATTATTCAAAATTTTTGTTATACTTAGGTCACATATGATACGAGTACCGGTTTGATTTCAATGATGAGTTTTTATTGTCAGCTTTTTGTCGTCAGTTTTATCAAGGATGCGATCTCCTCTCCATTTTTCAAAATTTTTCATAACCTGTTCGTTTTGAACTCTGTTAAGAAAAGTAATTTCAGCAGGAGTTGTTGGAATATAATATTTAATAGATCTTTTCCCTGGCAATTTTAGATCTTTTGTATTTTTGCCCTTCACACCAACTACAAAACTATCTTGTTTTTATTTTTTTTACAACTTTGTATGTGAAAATCTTAAATTTGCAGGCATTGCTAATGTGGATCAATAATACGATTTGCTTGGCTATCTATTATGTCCACAGGTGGAAAATTCGAGCAATTTTTAGCAAATTGCAAATAGCTACTAGAGATGTAGTCTAGCCTATAGCCTATGCCGATAATACAAAAAACTATAAGAAAAATATATAACAATAAAAAAAAATTGAGGACTCGCCAGATTTTAAATCTCCTTTTTAACAAATGACCTTGAGGCATTCAACAGTGCCATTAACAGATCGTCGATGTAGAGGCATGCGTGGAAAATCTTGTCTACGAAAATATCAATGCCGCTTGGGGCGCATCAATTTTTACCGCAATAGGGTCACTATATTATCTAGAAGCTATATGACCTAAGAGTGCGAATGCAACTGCAAGTTTTAAACCAGTTTGTCATGCTAAGTCCTATCCCACACATGGCGGTCTAAAGGCGGAATTTCCGTCTGCGGAGTCCACTTGCGAAGGGCGGACCACACATAGAATAGTAGGTTGAATACCATACACTCTAGCGGAAGTGTCGTTGAACGTACGAACGCGATATTGTTTGATGAGAATTTAGTTAACTGTATATGCATCTCGTTGATTAGTAGAATGATGGATATTGATAAATTTATCTAATTAATTCAGCAACGGCCCCGTGTTTGCGATATGGGGTGGGGGGGGGGGTGAATAAATAGAAAGGGAAGTGCTGGTGGAAAATTTTTGAATTGACGGAAAAAGTTGAGAAGCTTGGACCAAGAGGGAAACTAAACCTAACTAAACTAAACCTAAACCATTTGACTTTTGAAAAAAATAATTTTTCTACTCCCGCCTGTAACATACCTAATTACCCACCGATCTAGCGTGCGAGAAGCGTCACTTTACCACGTCAGTTTCCTTTCCCACGAATCCGAGCCACTTCGGACATTTCCTTCCGGGATTTTACCGCACGGATTTGGAAGCAATCGGATATTTTCGGAGATATTTCCCACGCTTTGAATTTTGACATTTGTCAATTCTGACGGTCATGTCAGTGAATGTATTCGTGTTGTTTTGCGAAAATGTACCCAAAATCTAACGGTTGTAGAAAAAGTATAGTATGCAACACGTTCGGTAAACTTTTTAACTCGTTTATTAAACACTCGCTCCGCTAGTGTCAAATAAACTCGTGAGTCAAATGCCTTTTACCGCACTTGTTGCATAATATGCTATTCTATATCTCGAAGTTTTACGTTCACGATGCCAGTCACCAGTATCGTCTAAAAATGAATATAAGTAAAACCAAGTTCATAATAATAAGTAAAAATGACATCCGAAACTGTTTATCAGGCAGATTCAGCTAGAAATATGGCCCAAATTCAATTATTCGATTATTAATGAGCAATGGGGCCACTCTAGAGAGATTAAATGCCGAATAAAAGAAGCAAGACAAAGTTTAATTAAATTTTAAAACTGTTTAAAAGCCACAATGTGAACCTAAACATCAATCACAATCCTTCGATGTTACGTTTTCTCGACACTCTTCTACTCTTCTAACATTTCAAAATGTGGCTATACAGGAGAATTCTGGGGATCTACAGAATGTCTAATGAATCAGTACTGGAAAGAATGAGTAAAGGAAAGTATTTGACAATTATTATAAAAAGAAAAAACTTGAATATCCGGTCTATATAATGCCAATCAAAAACCATATCTATAACCATTTGACGTTAAAACTTGTATTCTTTATCTGAAAAGTAATGTGCTGGCATTTGTTTCTTAGAGACGAGAAACCGACGAAAGCGGAAGCGGATCTTATTCCGCTAAGTTACCTCCTCCTTTATTTTGCCCCATAATACTTAAATACGTTAATATGTATTAGAGAGAGTGTTTTCAAATTTTTGTTGGAAAGCGAGTTTTGCATCTAGGGCACTCAGGTCTCGTCAGAAACCCTATTGAACGTACATTCAAATATTGTTCATTTCCAAAATCCAGTAATACCTTTACACGCAACGCCCTTTTTTTAAATTTTATCATAGGTTACCTGCGTTTATAGAGGAGCAAATAAGTACCGACATGGACGTGACCAGGGTATCGAAATCGTTGTTCTTTGCGAGATTTTTGGGCGCTGCTTGCGAAATGTGCACAAGCTTTGTTAGGTCCTGCCAATTTAACGGCGACGCTACCGGTTGGAATCGCGTGTGCCGCGACTTCTTGTCGTCCAGTGACCGTTTGTGGGGGAATTGGGTCGACGCCTGCGTAAAAGTCACCGTCCATCTTTCCAGAGAGATGAACGACACGAGTCCGAAAAAAATGATTCGGGAATTATACGTACGTAAAATGTCTTATAGTGCTGGTCGATCATTTATGCTTAGATGCTTCATTTTTTGGTGATATTTTAAAAATGACTGAGACACCTGTGCACACCTTAATAAATTTGTTTCCTGTAGCTTCGGAACTAAGTGGAACTTTTCTTTTATAAAAACCACAAGGTTCTATCTTTACTATTTAATTAAACCGAAAATATTACAGGCGATTGACACGTGTCACACAACTGACGCATATAAACGGACCTTTAGGGGACATTCGGCGTTAAAATCGTATTTTGGTCTAATTTCAGAAGTGGGATGAGATCGAGATCCAGGAACAAACCGAGGAGAAAACGTTCAAATCCCATATCAGGGTACCGCTCAGACCTAGCGTTTCGCTCGTAACCGTTCTGGCCAAGCTCAACGCCGATCTCGCGCAAATACTACCGTTTACTCTGCCCAATTCCATACACGACCAGTTTTTAATGCGGAACTCGCGCGTCATTTTGGCCGAATATGAAAAAATCGTCTCCCAACCCCTTAACCAGATAACAGCGCTGCAGTTTTTGTTTGACGTGCGATTTTTCGTTAGCCTCTGCGTTCCCAGGGAAAACGTAGATGTAGGGGGCAACGCTCAGCGCATTTGCGACGAGCTAAGACAAAAAATCGACCCATTCGACCTCGATGTCTTCTATTCGTACCTACAGAGTAACGTGAAGAAGGCCGTCGGGCAGCTTCAGACGATGTTCGGGGGTCTCGTGCCTTACAACGCTCAGCCGCACGCCACTGAGACTGTGCCGGCCAAGCACAAAAGTCAAGAAATAACGCCGTCGCTACTTGCATTAAGTAAACCGTCGTCTGACGCTTGGTTTCCGTTGTTGCCGATCACAGGGCCGTCGCATAAGGTCGCCCCGCCTTCCGGTAACCTGGAAATTAAGGTGGGTGAATATTTTGATGCTTTGTAGTTCCATGATATGGTTCTTCCGGTACTTCAATACTGAATGGTCGTTCCCATCAACATTTTTATGGGTCACCTAAGTTTAGGTAAGGGTAGACTTTTGTTTGCTAGAATTCTAAAGTAATCACTAAGACACTTTAACAATAACAATCGTTTAATTTTTTTACTGGCATTTTGTATTTTTTCAACCGGCTAAGCTATTACTTAAGATGTGACACTTTTAAAGACTTGGGTGTAACATTTGACCTGACCTTTGGAAGCCACATTCATCAACCCTGAGGAGAACATATTTTAAAATTGTTTACTTTAGTTATGTACCTACAGTGGTGTCCATTTAAAATACTCCGACACCTTATCTCAATAAGTACTACACTGAGAAAAAAAAGTTAAATACAAAAACGTTTGACTCTAGTATTTTTATGTATACAGGGTGTTCAGTTGTGCCAGGACAGTAGCCAACTCTTTTTTTTTTAATGAAATGCTGTGAATATTTTTAAAAATTCTAATTACAATTCGGTGAACATTTTTTTTCTGCTACTTGTGTCGAAAATGCGTAAGAAATAGTATTTTCTCGAATTATTGATGAGTGCTTGTAATGGTTGTTTTCTGTTTTGCGATGCGATAACTAAATAAATTGCTGCTGCAGACTGTGAGTCATATAAGGGTTGCATATGCATGCATTAAAATGGCTAATGTTAGCAAACGTGTTAAGTCAGTAATTACTGATCATAATGATATGAAGTTGCTATCTTTGATATCAAAGTATCGTGATCTCGTGATTTTCCAAGTGACTTTTATTATTGTGGGATTGTAATATTGTAATATCTTAGATTACAAAATAACTAATTTTCTACCTTCTACTTTAAAATACCCAATTATGCACTGACCAAGCTTGCGCAGTGTCATTTTAAGGCGCTTGTCAGTTCTGATGTCCCTGTCACACCTCGCTCAGTGAATGAGATTCATGCTATTTTGCAAAAATATTTGCTGACCACATGTTTTTACTTTCTTAGTGCTGCTGTTAGAGATATGTTTTTAAACACGTATTTGAACTAAGGCAAATTAATATTTTTCAAGCCAGATAAACAGGTTTCCTCTATTGCAGGAAGAACGGAAAGCCCCCGGGAAAACGCTCCACGAGTCGCTCTCCTCGAGACAACTCGCCACTTCCATATTCGGAGGCATCGCCAGCGACTGGTTCTCTTAATGTCCCAAATAATGCAGTCCCTTTTTTTAGAGCTTTAAGGAAAATAAAACAAAGCAAAAAAAAATACTTCGCATTTTATTTGACACATTCAAAGGGGCCGCGGCGAAATTAAAAATAAATATTAAAAATAGTAACATATAAAAAATAACTCATCTATAAAGTTTAACCGAATAGTGACGTCTCGAAAACTTAAAACTCTTCCGGGCGGCGCCAAAGTAAAGGGATTATTTGCTTTTGCGTGACATGTCGTTACATAAGGCCTCCAACTCTCGACACTCTCGCGTCTTTTGCATCAGCGCCGTCTCCAGCGAAGAGCATTTGATTTCGAGCAGCTTAATTATCGCCCTCAGGGACGTGTGCAATTCCTCGTGTTCTTTAGTTATGTTCTCCTTCTCCAATGCGATTCTGCGAAATATTCAAAATTAATTAAAATAAAAAAAATTAAATCAATCATATTTAATTGAAATAAATCAAAATAGTCCTCGTAAATTCGGACGTAGATAATGTCACTTTTAAAGACTCGGGTGTAACATTTGACCTGACCTTTAGAAGCTACATTCATCAAGTCTGCGGAGAACATATTTTAAAATTGTTTACTTTACTAATGTACAGGGTTGTCCATTTAAGATACTCCAACACCCTATCTCAATAAATACTACACTGAGAAAAAAAGTTAAATACAAAAAGTGTTTGACCCTAGTATTTTTATGTATACAGGGTGTTCAGTTGTGCGAGGACAGTAACCAACTCTATTTTTTAAATGGAATGCTATGAATATTTGTTAAAATTAAATTCGCTTGATTTTGGGAATTTTTTGTCATTACATAAACATGCGAAATTTTGAGATTTGATAAAAATGAACTTTTCCATTTTTTTGCCGAAAAACAGGCCTTGGAAAATATGTGTTTTTTTATACTTGAAAACTAAAATTGGAAATTTTTATTATGGATCCATGATCCATAATATATAATAATAAATAATGATATATAATTCTTTGACCTATCCACGGCGAAAAAATACATACAGTTATGCCAAAAATGACCATCAGAAAATGTTTTTTCCAATTAACAAAAAAAAAACATTTTTTTTATTTATAAAAATTCCGTATGTATCACGTTTATTGGGCTTGGTATTTAATTCTGTATCATTTCAATATACATATATAGCTTGCTAGTTTAAAAGTTATGGCCATTTTTCTACAACAACTCGTGTATGTTATTATAATATATTATCCTAAGTGTTTTACACATTTATTACTTAAATTTAATATAAAATCAACAAGTAATGCAAGTAAATAAAACTTATTACTAATTACAAAACATTTTTTAGATAACCTCCCTCCATCTTTGGCATATGGTTTCCATTTTCGCAATAGCATTTCTAACCGCGTCTGTTGCGTTAAGTCTTTCTACCTCTTTCCGAATGCTCATTTTATTTTCTAACACGCACTGCCACAGATTATATAAAATACTGGGCCTATTATTCGATTACCACACATAAACACTTCTCTGAGCCTGTTTCTTAATTTCTTTTTTCTACTCCCGTCTGTAAAATACCTAATTACCCACCGATCTAGCGTGCGGGAAGCGTCACTTTACCAAGTCAGTTTCGTTTCCCATGAATCCGAGCCACTTCGGACATTTTCGGGTTTTTACCGTACGAATTTGAGAGCAATCGGATGTTTTCGGAGATATTTTCCACGCTTTGAATTTTGACGTTTGTCAATTCTGACTATCATGTAAGTGAATATATTCGTGTGTTGCGAAAATTTGACCAAAAACTAACGGTCGTAGAAAAAGTATAGTATGCAACACGTTCGGTAAACTTTTTAAATCACTCGTTTTTTAAATACTCGCTCCGCTCGTGTCAAATAAACTCGTGAGTCAAATGCCGTTTACCGCACCTGTTGTATAATATACTATTTTTTATTCGATTATTGATTATCACTCCATGTTCAAGATAACGAACAATTCGTGAACAAATATGTTTCATGGGTACCCATCTTGCAGGATACAGCAAGCTATATTCTCTTAGGCATAATGCTGGACTCTTATTATTACTCACGAAGATATAAAAGTTGATCGACACTGTAAAATTCAATTTTTTCTTTTAAAGTTGGTGACAAATAACGGTTGAATAAAAACTGGGCACTTCTGTTCAGGTAAGCAACTATTTTATTAGTTCTTTTTTTCCATGGATATCTTGTAAAAATAAGACGCCGGTTTCGGGAGGTTAGAAAACGTTTTCTCAGTAATAAGTTTTATTTACTAGCATGATTTGTAGATTTTGTATTCAATTTAAGTAATTCATATTTAATAAAAAAAACTTTTATGTTGAGTTAGATTTAAAATAAAATACACGAGTCGTTGCAGAAAACTGGCCATAACTTCTAAACTACCATTTTTTGTAATAAAAGCTATATAAATAAAAGTTTTCCATTTGTGACCACCCTGTATAATATATTTTCGCCATAGATAGGTCCAAGTATTAAATATTCACCACTTCCATGGATGTTAATGTCCGACTATTTTCAGGGCATTTAGAGATTCTCGGTCAATAAATTCTTTTTTCATGAAAGTCTTTGGCCAAGACTTTCTGAGAAAAAGAATTTTTGTTTACATCGGCCAAGAAAAAACGCTGTAAAGAATTCTTTACAGCGTTTTTAATTTTACTATATCATTTTAATTTAACCCAAATTATTTTTCGCTCACCGAGAAACCTCATCACCCGAACATTTCTTTAGCTTTTGGTATTTCTCTTCCCATAACTTCAGCGCTTGCTCGGAGCTCTGCAAGTTCAATTTCAGAATATTCTCGTTGCTCTTATATTTGTCTATAATCACTTTCAATTTTTCGTACCTTCTGCAATAAAATGATATAAAATAGTAAATTAATTAACCGAAATAAAATGGCGCTTACGTGAAGACATCAGAAAAGGCCAACTCGAGGTTAGAAAATTGCTTAGCTGTCGCTTGCTTCTCTGACATCAACGTTTCCAATTGCTTGGTCTGCTCTGCAATCCGCTTCTCGTATTCGTCGAGGATCAGCTTATAAAATAGAAAAACTTAAAGATATCGCAAAGAAATCTTAACTCGCATAGTGGTTGAGAAGCAATCGGATCGTGATTTGAACCAAGACTTGAACCGATTGCGTGAAATATCACTGGGGAGTGTAAAAGAACAATCGTAAACGCTGATAACAATGAAAGTGTGGACCGATCCAGATTATAACATCTTCTATAGTGAGTATCACGCCAAATAAAGAACTACAAAAATCAAATCAAGTAGAGGCCAAGCCCGGCGCAGACGCCGCAGTGAATTTAATTCGCATATTAATTGCGGATGAGACCTCTTCAAAGCAATCGGACAGTGATTTGAACCTACTGCGGAAACATACCGCTAAGACGTGCAAAAAGACAATCGTAAACACAACGAACGAATGTAACTGACATATTTCTAATTTGTCTTTAAGTTGGTTCTCACTTTCGTTCTCTGCGTTAATGATTGCTTTTTTACATTCCCAAAAGTATTTGCCGCAGTAGGGTCAGGTCTTGGTTTCAAATTACACCCTGGTTGCTGCGAATAAGTTTTATCCTCAACTAATATGCGAATTAAATTTACTGCAGCATCTACGGCACACTTGACCTCTACTTGTTTTGTTTTAGATAATTCTTCATTTGGAGTGATACTCACGGTGGCAGATATTTCTAATTTGTCTTTAGGTCGATCCTCACTTTCGTTCTCGGCATTCACGGTTGCTTTTTTATACTCCACAATAGTATTTGCCGCAGTAGACTCAGATCTTGGTTTCAAATTAGGGCCTGAGTGCTCCGAAGAGGTCCCATCCTCAACTAATATGCGAGTTAAATGCACCGCGGCATCTACGCCGGACTGGACCTCTACTTGGTTTGATTTCGGTAGTTCTTCATTTAGCGTCATACTCACTTTAGCAGATGTCTCTACTTTGTATTTAAGTCGGTTGCCACTTGCGTTCTCAGCTTCTACGATTGTACACTCCCCTAGGGTATCACTACCTGATGGCTCCGAGGAGATCTCATCCTCAACTAATACGCGAGTTAAATTCAGTGCTGTATCTGCGCCGGATTTGACTTCTACTTGGATTGATTTTGGTAATTCTTCATATGGCGTAATGCCCACAATAGCATATGTTTCCTTAGGTCGGTCGCCTCTTTCGCTCTCATCTTTTACAATTGTTTTCCACTCCTCAATGGTATTCGCCACAGCAGGTTCTGGTATTGGTTTAAAGGCACCGCCTGATGGCTCGAAGGAGGTCTCATCCTCAACTAATATGGGAGTTAAATTCACTGCGGCATCTGCGCTGGACTTGACCTCTCCTTGGGTTGATTTCGGTAGTTCCTCATTTGGAGTGATAATCACAACAGCAGATGTTTCTAATTTGTCTTTAGGTCGGTCCTCACTTTCGTTTTCAGCATTTACGATTGCTTTTTTATAGTCCCCAATAGTATTTGTCGCAGTAGGCTCAGATCTTGGTTTCAAATTACTTCCATATTGCCCCGAGGAGGTTTCATCCTCAGCTAATATAGGAGTTAACTTCACTGCAGTATCTGCGCCGGATTTGACCTCTACTTGGTTTGATTTTGGTAATTTTTCATTTGGCGTAATATTCACAATAGCAGATGTTTCATTAGGTTGGTTGCCACTTTCGTTCTCATCTTTTACAATTGTTTTACGTTCCCCAATAGTATTTGCCACAGCAGGTTCTGGTATTGGTTTCAAGTCACTGCCTGATGGCTCCAAGGGGGTCTCGTCCTCAACTAATATGGGAGTTAAATTCACTACTGTATCTACGCCGGACTGGACCTCCACTTGGTTTGATTCCGGTAATTCTTCATGTGCAGTGATACTCAGGGTGGCAGATGTTTCTAATTTGTCTTTAGGTCGATCCTCACTTTCGTTCTCGGCATTCACGGTTGCTTTTTTATACTCCACAATATTATTTGCCGCAGTAGGCTCAGATCTTGGTTTCAAATTGGTGCCTGATTGCTCCGAAGAGGTCTCATCCTCAACTAATAGGCGAGTTAAATGCACCGCGGCATCTACGCCGGACTGGACCTCTACTTGGTTTGATATCGGTAATTCTGTATTTGGCGTGATACTCACCATAGGAAATGTTTCCAATTTGTCTTTAGTTTGGTCCCCACTTTCGTTCTCAACATTTACTTTAGTGCATGGGCTAAAAAAA